ATACACATAGGAGATTAAGTATTCACATTGGAGGTATTCCAAAAACGTTTATAGTTAGCCCTGCACAAGGGAGATTATTTAATTCATATTTTGTTAATCATAAAAGAAAGATAGCACATAGGAGTTTTAATCATATTAAAGCAGATTTTTTTCTGAATCCAGTGATACCAAAACCTCAATTTGCAAATTTTTCACATAGGAGATTTATTCCCGTGGACGACGATATGCATCCTCAAGCCGATATGTATTCTTATTGATATTTACAATATATCCCAGCATATACAGGTATACTATACAGGTCTATACGGGTACTATTCAATGCCTACTTAACACATTTTATTTTTGAAATATTCTTAATTAACAAGAAATTTAATTAAACTGAAATTGGGTGTTTTATTTTTAGTATAATGAAGCTTAGTAAATGGAATAGTAAATCGCATATTATATACTAATTCGTTATATGTTTTTAAAGTTTAATGAGAAACATTAAAAGTAAAGGCCTTGCAGTATATATTAAAGATTCGGAAGAAGCACAAATGTATATAAAAATGTTTGCTCCATTAACTCTCCTTCCGGCAAACTTAATAGAACAGGGTTATCATTTTATCATTGCATTTGTCAAAAAGCAAGAATCAATAATTTGCAGTTGACTCCATTTTTAAATTACACTAACAAGTATGTAAATAATAACACATTTACAAGCAATAAAAAGTTAATGGTTTGTGATTTATTTTAGTTTTTGGTTACGATCAATGGGACCGTAAATGTTTTCAGTTCATTCGATCGCCAGGTGAACCAATAACAATATTGAACATTTTCATGGGCGACTGAAGGAGAAATTCCAAGTTTCCCATCCGATTCTATAGACATTTTTAAGTATTTATAATAGTTATAAATCATTATATGTGGTTCAGTTTTTACATTTCAAATACTATTTGTATAATTTTTCTGTAGTTAAACATCAGTATGGAAAAGGAAATATAGTACAATTGTAAATGGCACAAGACTGGAGTGGGCAGTTAAACCGTTCGTGTATGGCCTGTAATCGGTTGGCGGTGTTCGGCGATCGACAGTGCTCGTCGTAGTAGGCAGCTGCTATTGGCGACGATCATCACTAGCGCTCCAAATACGGGCACGGCCGCGACCTGTTTTGTCGAGTGAGTGGGTCAACTCTCGCTGAATAGAGTATAGCTATGGATAGAGAAGTGTGGAGAGGCGTGGTGGTTGTGGAGAAAGGCCCAGATGGCCTTACTAAGCATACTATAGCATACCAAACCAAAAAAAAAAAATATATGGTAAAAATATATCGAATTTTTACTATAGTAAGTCGTTATAATATATAAACATTTTTCAAATATGACATCAAAAATATTACATATGTAGTATTGAAATTTGCCACATGTTCTGAGGCAAAAATAGAGTTTTCGGAGTGTGGTTCCCGGAAACACTTCTGATATTGATACCTATCCTACCAATGGAGGATATATCATGCGTGATCGAAAATTCCATGTTCAAGAAATGCTTGGACCAGTTTCGTCTATCGCTAAGGTTATATTTTAATGGTTTTATATTTAAATTTGTATCAACCTGTAATTAAATTAATACTTTTACAGCTTAATAGATAACGGGATGTGGGCGTCTGAAAAAAAAAGAACAAGTCGTCCGAAAAAATAATAATTTTTTAATCTGGTCACTTGCAGAGGATGACACCAATTTTTTCCAGTCTTTCGAAACTCAAATTAATGAAACGAGGGAGATGTCCCGAATTAATTAATTTGGGAATTTCCAAAGTAGAAAATGATGAATTATGCTGTATTTTAATCTTTCCCACGTGCCCCCTTAAAAATATAAACAATTTTGAATCTACGTTGGTTGTTCTTTCGATAAAAATGGTTTCGGAAACATAAATTTCCGTGTTCAGTACCTACGTAAAAGCCGTCGTAAGTACACCACTCAGTCGCATGGCCCATAAATTGTAAACATCGTATTGACATTTTATGTCTGCTTTGGCACAGAATCGAAATGGAAAAACGTTACGTTACGTTACGCTTTGTTTATCACCATATTAAAGAAATTATATTGAATACCAATAGGTGTCGTGTCAGTCGTGTCTTTATTTTTTATCGATTACCCTAGGACATACTAAGACATAAAATGTGGTACTTCATTGCAGACTCGTATGCAATATGTTTCACTCGTTTAATACTAACTTATGTTTGATTTAAAATGTTATAAAATAAAACAGACAAACAGTCCCTCTTGGAATTGTATTAAGTTTATTTTTTATCATTTTGCTTATGGTAGAATTCAGTTTGATTACATTATTAAATATTTATGAGAAACCTTAATTTAAATGTCCAATCCTCAGCTATAGAAATTAAAAATATAATACATTATTAGATAGACAATTAGCTGAAAATGGTCGATATATTGACAAGGATGATAAAAAAAACCTTTTAATCAAACATTCAAAAGTTGTAAAGTTAAAAAAAATATACAATGTAGGAATATATTTATAAAAAAAAAATGCATATATCGTATATGTTAGGCATAGTGTAAGATACTATAATGCAGTAAATGAACAAATTTATATACTGTATTAAAATAAAAAATCATGAATAATTAATGGCTACTACTCCTGGGGGAAACCGTTCCTCCTGAGTAACGTTTGACTCAAGGCTTCGAAACATCATTACAAGCCGGTGATCTGCCTTTTCACCTGTGTTCGAAAAAGGGTCATCATTATCCCAATTTTTTAATCCAGAAAAAGCTTTTTTTTTAATGAAATCCATGGCTAAATGCTAAAAATATAATAGAAATTGTTTTAATTAAACAATATGTTTTTAACTATTTAATTGCTAATATTTTAACAATTAACTTAAGGTAATAGAATTAAACCTGTATTCTTTATATTGTATTAAATGAATCTATAAAATAAAGTTGTCAATTGTATACCTAGTTTATAATATTATTTGTTTTTTTTATTACCTATATTATTTTTATTTTTGACGTTACCTAATCTTAATTTTAAAATTGATAACAATGATAACATTTCAAGTATTTCATAGAAGCTAAACAAAACCTATTTAATTTTTAACATACACAATTATATGATTTAGTATAACTTTCAAAACTTTATTTATACTTTTAAGTACTTAAATATTTAATTTTTATAATTATTAAATATTGGAATTTAAATTTAGAATAAAGTTTATTAGTCAACATCATCGGATAGATATTCGAAATATGTTCAAAATATCAACTTTCGATATTTATTTAATATAATATTTTATAAATGAAAAAATAATGTTGATTAAACATAATATATTTAACATCAAATGTTAAATAAAAGTTTATTTAATATATCTTTGTTGTCTATGATGCATATAATAAGCCGTCTAAAAACACAAATATTACAAATTTGATACGATCAGAATTAAATTAAAAGTGTATACAATTTAAAGAAGAGTTTACTGTATTTATCCAACTTATTTACCTCTTCACTATTAAAAAAACAAATATGAGCTTCTTATTAGATAATATAATTAAATGTTTTATCTTAAACTCGTGTTATCAGGTAATTTGGCTCAAATGGAATGTCATTTCCTCTGTATTTTAATGAAAATTCTTTGAATTTAGAATTGTTTAATTTATTTAAATTAATATTTGCGGAGAGCAAGGTACTTCACAAATCATGATTAAGATTTTTTTTTAGAAGTCATACATAGCAGTACCAACTACCTAGTTGTTATGATTTATTTTTCATCTAATCTTGCTTACGTTTTTCTGTTCTCAAATGTATTATAATATTAAAATATCTGTATTTATTCTCGTTTCACAAAATTTACTATACAAAATGATTCCATCACTTAAAAAAACATTTTCTCTGAGCTATCTGATTGTATAATGCGCGTAGGTATGGCGTATTGTTCGTTATTTTCAGCATCTTTAAAATTACGAGAGCTATAAGAATAACGATGTATAAAAGTGATGCCAAACGAAAACAAACTGAATACTTATTTTCCTTTTACATAGGTACCTACTCTAAAAGATTTACAATAAAGTGGATTACACACTAGGTGATTTGAACGCGTGTCTCCGTGCGTTTCAAACGTTGCGATTAATCGCTCAAAATTAAATATGTACTTTTTTATGGGTTTATTCCCACAAAAAATGAGTCCCTCCAAAGTGCTAGTGTTTAATTTTGAGCGTTCGGTCGCGATTTACAGCTATAGTTAAATATTATTATTCCAATGTAATTCCAATGCATTTCGGGAGTTTCAATACACACGGATGATTTAAACGCTACAATTTCCCCGAGTTTATTTACGTTCATTTATAATTTGTCTCTTGTCGTTTTAAGACGTACCTGTAACTTCCTACGTTCGTAGTTTACTAAGTTACAGTTGTTATATAAGGGGGATATTCTAGTCTGATGTGTTTTCCGTCCTAAACACTTTGGAAATTTGGTTTTTTTTACTATAAAACACCTCAGATGTTTGTAACCGACCTTCCATTGTTGATACAACCATTTCCTTTGATTGCAGAATTATCCACAACACTTTTTATGTTTGTCGTACAATTTTTGCAATGGCTGACAACTGACAAGGCTCATTAAAAAATCCTATACATTTCATAAGAACACTGATTTTTTTCTTTGAAATCAGACCACATGAATACGACTGTTATCCTATTCGACAAATATTTTCTTAAAGGTGCATTTTCTCTTCTATAATGTGAAACTGAAGGATTGAAGGAAAGTAGGATTTAGGAATTTTAGAATCATTTTTTATACAAAAGTATACCTATACCATATTTAATAGAAAATAATTTATTTAATGATGGTAAATATTATAATTCTATGTTTATTATAAAGGTAAATGCAATTAATTCATCATAAATAGCAAGTGTATTATTTTATTAATATTTTTTTTTTTAGTTAAAAGTATAGTCAAAACTATAAGTGTTAATTAATTAAGGTAATTATAATATTAAAACTGTCACATGCGGGTTTGAATTTCTTTAATAAGTGGAGGCTGCAAATTTGTTAACGCCGCAACCACTTGAAAAATACTTTCTGCTTGTTTAAGCATCGAAAAAGGAATAACATCTAGTATTGAGTCGCATTTTATTCTTTGAATTGCTCTTTCAATATGTATCCTAGCTTTTGCTATTGTTTCAGTCTGTACTACTTGATTAGGAGTAAATTGTGGAGTGTCTAAAAATGGAGGGATATTCAATGATACTCCTGGTGGTAATATATCTCTAATTAGAAACCCTTTATCTGCTAGAATTAGATCACCTGGAACCCGGTAGCTGTTCCAAAAGTCCACTTTTTAAAGTTATCACTTTATCAGAAGTTGACCCAGGGAATAATTTACTCACAAATGTAACTACACCGTTTGGAGCGATTCAAATCAAAGCTTTCCAAGTATTCCTGTGTTTATAATTGCTGTATGTGTCTTTTTGGATATTCTTAGATTGACAGCAGTAAAAATCTCAGTGCAATCAATAACAATTCGGAAATTTAAAAATGGTTTGAATGCATTGGGCATACACAATTTATTTTTTTCTCTAGATGGTATTTTACTCATGCATTTTTTGAATAATACTTGATGTAAAATATTAATCCACGTTATAACAATATTTGTGATAGTAGCACAACTACAGTTAAATTTGACTGCTAGATCAAAATGTGGAAAATTATGCCTCAACTTCATTAAGGTTATGAGTATTTAATCTTCTTTATTGATGCTTTCCACAGACCACATTAAATGATATTCAATATTCAATGATTTTACTAAATTATAAAGCGCTTGAAACACTGAGTTTGAAGGTAAACCAGTGTAAGAATTTAACAGTTCATAATTTTGATTTAAATTTGCATAATTAAATTTTATTCCTAAATGTCTTAGTTCAATTTTCATTGCTTCATTTTCTTTTTGGAGAAAATAATTTTGAACTTCTGAAACTATTGAACCATTTGAAGCATTGTTATTATCGTTCAACTTTAAACTGTAAAACACATTAAGAAAAAAAATAAGGAAATAAATAAACAGTTTACTTTTATGCCAAGATATTTTAATTTCAATTTGGACTAAATTAGATAATTAAATATATATATATATATTTATATTTTATAATATATAATATATAAATATATATCTCAGTGCACTACAAACCTTGAATTCAATATTGGTTTCAATTATAAATCTAGTACATCATTATTAATTTCATATTCAATTGGATTAATTTTGTCACTGTTCTCACACAAAACTTCATCATCTACCATAATATCTAGCATATTATGTGATAATGTGATATAGTTTGTGTGGTTTTACGAAATCTTTTTTTCTCAGGTGTCAAGTGATATGTACCAAACTGATGAGGACGATGGGGGAGGATTGTTGGTCCATTTTCTTTTTTACCCTCTACAAAGTGACAGCTGCATACGCGAGCTCCTGTCTTAGGTTCATCAGTTCTTCTATAGAATGTAAATTAATTTTATAGATTTTACTAAAATAATTAACTAATATTACAATTGTTTTTTAAGCACCTTATCAACTCTATCCATTTTTTTTCTTTCAAATTTATTGGAAAGCGATAGAATTTGCAACAATCTTTTTCGTTGTAATGGCAACATCCAACAACCCAGCACAAAACCATAATTTCTACATTTCCAAAACATGCATATTTTATGTAGCTAGTACTAGATACTATATTATGATTTGTGATTGACAAATAGATTTTAAATATGTTGCATTAAAATCATAAAAACCAGTTGGACAATCATAAATCAAAATGAACATAGTAACATAGTAGGTGGGTATAGGACCCATCAAATATGTTTATGATTTGTTAATTAAAAGCAGTCTATCAATTTAATTTAAAGATGAAATGTGGATTTAAAAATATTTAATGTGCGATTTGTAAGCAAAAGCATAATTATTCATGCCGGGTAAGTAATATCTTTTTCCGTAAAAATTTAATTTGAGTAGGTATAACAATAGTTCACAACATATTTAGATTTCATATTTAGTACCAAGAAAAGCATTTTAAATAATAAAATCTGCTCACCAATCAATGAATAGTACAGTATACAGTGATTTGAGTTCAAATATAACTTTTAATAAATTATTATAACTGCATTTTAATATATAAACTTTCGTTTGTTTGGATCCAGTAGTCTCTATTGATAAGGATTAATAACATTTGTGACGTCACACTAATCGCGCGTATTATACTTCGTGGTGCAAGACAATATATAGACACCCCCCCCCCATTCATCATAGAAATTATAAATAAATATTTTTTATAAGTTTTTCCATATATCTAATTTTCTTCAGTTAAGTTGTTTACACTTTTTATAATAACAATGATTTTTTACTTACTTTTTTGTTAATAAAACAATAAAACAGCAGTATATTTATAAATTAATCAAATAAAAATAAAAAGTAACTACTTACTCTTTATAGTTTTATTCATATTGAAGATTTGATTACTTTTTTTTTTAAATATTTATAAATATTGCAGGCTTTTATTTTTAAGTTTAATGAATTGGTAGGTACTTAAATTTTAAATATTCAAATATACACTATATTTATTATTTATTATATATTTATAATTTAAATAAACATATAACAAGCGCATATAATGTGATATAAATACAAATTAAACTTAAGAAAATAAAAGTGCTGATTGTAGCAGTTTAGACCTTGAGCCATGCATATTAATAGCTTCATCTATGGGTATATCAATATCAGCGTTACATTATATCAACATTAAATTATCAAGTCTAGATTCTGACATTGTTGATTGGTTTTGATTAATTTTAATTTTGAAAAACACCTTTCAGCACTTGCTTAAGCACTTCCTTGGAGGTAAAGTTGTAATGAAACCAAGCCGTATGAGTTTTAATCTCATCAACTTTATTGTTCTTGATAATAATACAATCAATAGTATTCATATTTCAACAGCTTATTCTTTTTTAACAATTTATACTCTTATGAGTTTACAAATAAAAACTTATTGGGGTTTGACATATAAGGGGTGGGAATCCAAATAGGTATGGTCCTGAGTTTATTGACTGGTAGAATGTCGGATGGCTCGGAGTTAAATCTCGACAGTACACCAGGAATGTGTCAGCAATGGCTCTGCGCGGACGGCAGCTTGCTGAGATACGTGTGAACTGATGTGGACAGACAGCGGCTCGATAACACCACTGCACGATCGTCAACAGCGGCTCCACTCGAATGGTAGCTTGTTGATGTGCGTGTTAACGAGCATGAACGGCGGCGTGGTCACACAACGGAATCAGCGGCGAAGGCTCGGCTTTGAACAGCGGCTTCCCGGCGATGAGTGGAAACAACTGCTAGACGACGGCAAACTGAACACTGCGGGGAAAGACTCTGCGTGGTCAAAGGCTTCACAGCAGTACGAAGGGAACTTGGAGAGACGACTGCTGTTCCATTTCGTATAGACGTATCAGAACTAGGAATCGGAGTTGTTAACCTGGAAAGTATCCATGTATAACGGTGGTTTAGTACCGTCCGGCTCACATTTACTCCGCACACAACGGGGAGTGCTAATTACGGTCTTTAGCGCGGCTTCTGGCTTATATAGAGTGTCCCAGCAGAAGCGGACATTTTAAGCAGGGCGGGATTCTTTTGTTTCTGGGTTGACAGCACTATTCCAAAGTTTTTCTTATCTTATAAAATCTCCCATTTGTCATCGCAAAGCAGTTTTTGGTATTCTTCATCATGGAGAGGTTTACAGTTGAACAACGCATAACCATAGTGAAAAAGTACTACAAGTACGAAGAGTGTGTCGCGGAAACGTTACGAAAGCTTCGGACGATCTTCGGATCTTTCTTGGGTTTGTCTTGAGTTTTCTGTCCCCAAAATTTGACAGTTTTGCGACGGTCGCTTTTGCAGACGCGTTTTTTCGTCCGAAGCTTAAAGTAACGTTTCCGCGACACACTCTCCGTACTTGAAGTGCGTTTTCGCTATGGAAACAAAAAAATCCCGGCCTGCTTATAATGTCCGCTTCTGCTGGAACACTAGTGATGGCGTGAAATAGTAGTAGCAGTGATTTTTTCACAGTGATTCCAAAGTAGCAGTCGCAGACTGTTACTCAGATATTGAGATACCAGTGATTGCTACTTTTTTCATTTTGATATTAATTATCATATATGGGGTGCTACTGATACTGATACTATGAATTGTGATATGTGATGATGAAAAAAATCACAAGTGATATCTTAGTGATACCAATATTATATTGTAAAAAAATCATTATTGAATTATATTTTAGTGCTTAGATTCGAATATTAAAATTTTAAATAATTTTATACTTTATAGTGATACTGATATTGCGTTTTATCAGATTTATGTAGGTATAGGGAATATTGTATGTACCTATACTGTATGGAGTGGTAGTATGAAACTATGAACAGTAGGTATGTAATATGTATCATACTATCATTGTGAAGGACCTATCCAGTATCCATTAAACTAAATATCAATTATATGTGTACAGGATACGTCAATACACAATGTACTAGACAATAGACATTAGTGATTATTGAACAACAAATAAGAATTATCAACTATCATCATTTTGTAAAATCTTAAAACAAAAATTATTTATTATTGAAATATAAACTGCCAATTTACAGGTAATGAGTAATGACTATACCTATCTAATAATTTCCATTTTGATTTAAAAATAACAACATCTGTGCTTTTTTAGAATTTAAGCGGCATCTTCGGTCGGATAATATTAAGCCTGCCTTTTAAAATACACGCTCGCAAAGTACCGATGAACTTAAACAGCACAACCTTCTTCTCGCCAAAATACTGAGAAATGGAAAATTATGTTTTTGTTCTTTCCACCATATCAAAGGATTAGAGCTTCTTGGAACTAATGCTTCTTCCATGTAACGCTGAACTTCTATTATTGCTCTCGATCTTGAAGTTCTCTCAACAGGTTGCATATGTGTAATTTGCTTTAATGTGCTTTATAAAGATGTTGAAGGTTCTATATTTGATGTAGTACTCGTAGTAGTAATTTCAGATTTGGTCCAAGAAATTAATTGACTTGTGGAATCGATGATGTAATTTTTTATAGTATTTAACATACTAACGTTGTTTAAAGTGGTACATTTTTAAATCGGGGATCCAGAAACGTACACTTACCTAAGGTGTTACTATTTTGAATGTTTCCCCAGCTTTGTCTGTCGTTCATACCGGTAACTAAATTATTAATTAAATGATTCGTTCTTTGTGAATAATTACATTTTTTCATTAGTTCACAGACATTTTGAAGACCGTGATCTATGACAATTGTCAATGAAGTCGTCATGTACTGTTCGCCACTGATTTCTTTAGTTGCTTCTTCAAATGGGCTTAACACTTTGCAAAATTCTTTAACAGTCCATTCATCTGAGTTTAAGCTGTCTGGGGCTTTGTCCAAAAGCCCTATTGTTCCTCTAATTGCCACTTCCAAATCAACAAAGCGTTGTAGCATATAAAATGTTGAGTTCCAACGTGTTGAAACATCTTGAAGCATTTTTTTTGGTTGCTTTTCCCCTAAATTTGTTTGGTAAGTCATTAGCTTGTGATGGGCAGTGGTACTTTTCCTGAAATGTGTTGAAATCGCCTTAACTTTATCAATGAGACTGGATTCTTGTTTTAATGCAGACTGTACAATTAGATTAAGGGTATGAGCAAAACACCCTAGTTTTTTTAATTGTAAATTACTTAATGAATTTTTTTATATTATATTTTGGGGAAAAAAAAATCTGTTAACATTGTTCTGTAAAGCTCACCATTGACGGTGGTGGCCTCACCAACGTCGTTTTCAAAAAAGTACGGACCAATGATGCCACCAGCCCAAATTCCACACCAAACCGTAACTTTTTGTGGATGCATTGTTACCTGGTGAACCTCATGTGGATTGGTATCGCTCCATATACGGCAATTTTGTTTGTTTACATAGCCATTCATCCAAAAATGCGCTTCGTCACTAAAGATGATTTTTCTGCCAAAATTGGGGTCTTCTTCCAAACGCTCTGAAACCCAGTCAGGGAACAAACGGCGTTGTCTATGATCATTAATTTTGAGCTCCTGGGTCAGTTGGATCTTGTACGGGTGTAAGCCCAAGTCCCGGCTCAAAATTCGCCAAGTCGAAGACTTTGAAAGACCGAGTTCTTGTGCACGGCGAGGAATTGATTGCCCCGGGTTCTCCTGCACACTTTCACGTACCGCGACGATGTTATCGGCCGATCTGGAGGTTCTTTGACGTACAGGTGTTATTTGATCGTTTACCGAACCTGTTGTCTCAAATTTCGATACCAAACGTTGGAGAGTTGACTTTGAAGGGCCACTACGTCGGCCGTAAAAAGGACGTAACGAGCGCAATGTTTGAGTTATCGAACTTTGATTTTGATAGATAAGATCATTTGGACGTGTTGCTCAATAGTGTAACTCGCCATGATGATTTAGCACGTATGACTGAATAATTTACAATAAAATATAAAGATGTAAACAAAACGATTAGGCCATACAGCGCAGAAAACATCGACCCGCATTAATTGGAAAACCTTTTTACTATATACACGATTACAATATATAGCCCGTAAAATAGGGGAGGTAAATATACAAATAATAAATTAAATTATTTAAAATAGTATAAAATGATAGACAAAAATTCATATGAGTGGAATATGTACCTAATAATGTACTTTGTAATACATAATAATTACTAACAAAATAATTTGAATACAATAGTCAATAAAATAATGTAAATATTATAATTATGTGACGTTCAATGGTATAATTTTTCAATAAAAAAATAGTAGGTATAAAATGATAGAAAAAATTCATAATAAAAAATATAATTATAATGAATAGCGGCATATTCAATGTGATAATTTGTTAAAAAAAAATAATTAGATATAATATTATGTACTATGTTTTGTTATAATAATTACTATTTATAATTATTATTTATATATTTATCTCACCTATTTTACGGCCCATATATTGTAATCGTATATATATTTACATATGAGGGCAACTGGTACATTTTGCTCTAGGTAGTTTGGTGGGGGGGGGGGAATTGGAATAAAAAAAAAGGTACTATTGGGGCAACTGGTACATGTCCAGTAAAAGTTACGGTCGTATGTAATTTGCGCCAAAAACAACCCCTCCCAAAAAATATTTATGTAATTTGCAACGCATCTTAAAATTAATTTTGGTAATTCGCCACACTCTTTAAGGTTGTAGTTTGCTCCCCACAAAACTTAATAAAAGGGTATTAAGTAATCTGCACCATCGTTTACCTACAAAAATTGTAATTTGCGCCACTTTAAAATAATTAAATAATCAAGTTCATTTTAATAGAAAATCAGTAATATTATAATAATTATAAATAAATGTTATAAGTCAACGTATTCTATGTATATTAAATAAATACCTATATTTTTAATATCTTTGCGATTAATATCATGATATACTCAAGCCTGGACAAGTTAATGATTATTTTTAACTGAGTTACCTAAGTAAGTTGATAATAAACAATTTCAAATGTTTAAAGTTAACAGTTAACCTGATTTTTTTTTTAACTCAGTTAAGTTAAAAGTTATATGAACATTTTCAATTAACTTATTAACTTCAGTTATTAACATCATTATTATAACTATTTTAATCAGCAGTAAAACGTCTGCCATTTTCCATACATAAATCATTATTTAACTTTTCTTGAATTAAAAGATGATCACCACTATAATATGACGTAAGTTGTTCTAAAAATGTATCAACTCTTACTGGAAGATGATCATTTTTGAAGACGCCGTGTTTAATGTGATAGAAATTAGATTCTATTCTGATACTTGAGACGATTTTTTCTCCAAAACCAAAAGTCTGCCTCATTATACCTGATCAACAGGGAAATAATTTGAATGTTCTTACAATTATAGGTTCAAGTTCAGGAATGTACTGTGCATTGTCACACATTCCTATTATAGACTTGACTTTAGCTCTCGATCTGTTCGCAATTTGTTGGGCCCAATCTTGGAAATTATTAGTGTAATCTGAAGTATAGTCTTCATCTATATTTATGTAATCTGCAGCACTATTTAATACTTGGGAGTTTTCGTCAATGTTGACTATCTCTAAGACACTAGTTGAAATCATAGATTGCAAATAGCGTTTAGCTGTATACCAAGGGATAAAAGTATCTAAATTTTCCATATTTCCGTGGAATTTGCTTAAAATTATACCGAATAGTGATTCAAGTATAGGTTCGGCTTCTTCAACTGATGTGCAACTACAAGCAATCCCAATAATTTGTTTTGTACTCGGGTATTTTGAGTTTTTTACTGGACCCCATTGTGTAATAAAAATAGTATGTTAAATTTTAGTATTGCTTACTGATCATTAATTGATCATTAATAAAAGATTTGACGGTAATACATACAAGCAATATGGATTATATTCTTCTCTATGTTACTATGCTGCTTTCTTTTTTATCAATTTACACACTTCGCAATCTTGATCATATTATAACTAAGTGTATAAAAAAAAGGAGCATTGTACGTTGTTTGCTTAATTCATATCAATTCTAAAAACCAAATGCAATTAGTGTGTATCTTGTCAATATTTAAGTTAATATAATGTTCTATGATATTAAAGAATACAAAATAACAGAACATGAAAAATAATTATGGACAATTACTTAATCATACATTAATAAATAAAAAATTGTTTATTTTACGCAAATGAGTTATATCAAGCTGGCATCCGAGATGAAAATGTGTTTCCCAACATTTGGGGGGGTGTACAAATTTTAGAAATGCGTTTACAAATTTGTACAAATTATATAACACATTTTTGTACCAGATTTGAGTGTCAAGGATAAAAATCATGACTGTGGATAATGGAGTAACGTTACTCTGGCATCCGAAATGAAAATGTGTTTTTCCACCCTTTGGGGAGGTGTACAAATTTTCAAAATGCGTTTAAAAATTTGTATAAATTATATAACAAATTCTGGTACCGGTTTTGAGTAATTATTGCGGATGCCAGCGTAACTCACCTATACAATAGGCTGTATTGACGGTTGTCATATTCGTGTACACGCTCCAAAATATAAAAGAAGTGAATATACTAAACTGAAGATTAGCTTGTTTAAATATTAAAAAAACAACAACTTATAAACTTAACATGTGTATGATCATAAATAATAAACTTTTTACTTTTTAATGAGCTATAACCTTTTTTTACAAATGGACAATTACAAATTATTTTTTTTTCATGTTTAGCAGTTTCGATTTATATTAATTTATCCATAAAGTTTTCAAATTTACTTTAAAACGCGTCACTGGACTTTTATCTTCTTTCATATACTCCCTTCAATACCGCTTTCTTTTAATCGGTCTGATATCATTTCAAAGATTTTGTAGTTCTTTTAATTTCCATTATATTCATTCTCAAGGTCACCCCTGTTCTCAATTAGTAGTTTTGTTGCTAGTTTTGTCAACATTTTAATATCTGATTTATACATTTTTGAATCACTGTGAGACTCATTAGTCATTAGAATTTATTTCATTATTTATTTATTTATTCCTATACATAACCTGGGTAAAAACTACATTTATAACTAAGGGTTATAGTAATTATATTTATAATGAATATATTTTATAATTTGTGTACTAATTTAAATGGTTGTTAGTTGGCTCATTATCTGACTATATATTTAACAGCTGGAGTATACTTTTTGTAAAACATTTTCCTTTTAACATCATAATTCATATCACTAAGACGGACATTTAATTTAAATATTACAAAGAAATTTAAAACCTGTTTATTTATTTTTACCATTCAGGTATTTCAATATTTATTTTTTGATTTTATTTGAATTTTAAACAATATTCTGACAACACCATATTTACATTTGAACATAATAAGGCTTTGTCTACACTTAATAAAAAAAAGCTTGAAACTATTAATGTTAAGAAACACATCTTCAAAGTTAATTTTGGAGTACATCAGTGGTGGTCGAACGGTGGTGTGGATGAGGGGCATGATCCCCCATCACATTTTTTCCCAATAGTCATAACAATTTATATACAATATCAGCTGATCCCGTGCACTTCGTTTACATAACTTCTTTATAAAAAATTCCATTAAAAGTACCCAAAATAGAAATCTTAATAAATAAGTTTGATTAATTGTTCAGTATTTTTAAAAGTAAAAAAAATATTTTTTTCATTTAAATTTTAATTGGGACAGTAAATTTTCTTTAATTAGTTTTTAGTTATAAAAGGTAATTTGATGATGGTATAGTGCACTTGTATTCATACAATTTTAAATGTAATTCAATATTTAAATTATTTTATAAAAATTAAATTTATATGACTCACGTTGTTGTTAAAGCTAATTTTAAATTTATAGAAATACCACAAATATATTATAATATATTATGTGTCTATTATACAAAAACCCTTTAAAATGTATATATATATATGTTTCCTTTATATGTTTTTGTGGGGTTTCAGACCAAATGGCAGATATTAGGATCAATATCTTCTAGACATTTCTGAAGAATTGTAAAGTCGGCAAAGGAAAAATGTAATATGTCCAAAACACCATTACCAATATTTGAAAAAACTCTTGGTCACTGCTATCACTATCTACATTTGCATTTGTATTCAAAGCACCATCTTTATCAGTATTAAGGGGATCGGTGATGGTGTATATTTAAGGAGTTGGGTATAGGCAATATTTAAAGTGCGTGCGTAAGTCATTTGTAACTGTGTGCATAGTAAATGATTATTAGTATGTGTACGGGTCTCTGCCCTACACCAGGTACTACCCACTCTACATCTTATTTGCTAATTGACAAATAACCATAACAACACTGTATAGTAATACACGGTAATAATAATTACGTAAATACCCGCATACGCATTACGCTGTATTCTACATTCTATATTATTATTGTTCGACGTCCATTGTACACACGTCTTTTTAGCTTTACGGCAAAAACCTTCACAATTTAATTTTTAATAATTAAAAAATATATTTATTATAAAAACAAGAATTTTCTATTTATTTTAGGTAGGTATAAAGCCTAATTTAGAAAGTCTATTAAAAAAATATATATACAAATGTTATGGTTCCGGTAAACCAGATCTTATAGGTAACCCTCGATCAAATCTCGAATCTATAATTTCTGGTACTAAAGATTCCATATAAAATTCTTCGTCTCTTAATATTTTATCAACTACAAAACCTATAAAAAAATATAAAATATTAGATTATGTTGATTTGAAATAAAAAATGAATTAAAAAGTTAAGTTACCTTTGGGCGTCCACACTACAAAATAGCACCATTTTCGTTTTGTAATATTGAGTTGTCCTTGTACTTGGAAATAGTAACAATCATTTTTTTTTAATATTAGTTTTTCATCATTATAAATCATATATTTTAATTTTTTGTTATTTACAGTTTCTTCTGGTGTATACTCCTTTATACTTTGAGAACACTTAATCTCAACTATTGCGTCTTTGCCTATTAGTCCATCGGGACTTGCGGCTAAATAATTGAGTTTATTGTGTATAAATAATCCTGCTGGTTCAATTTTAACATCAAACTTTTTTTAAAAATCTCTTTTGGCCATTGGTTCATTTTCAATGCCATACCTATAAATAATATGAATAAAATAACATTTAATTATTTAGATTTTAGAGTACTTATGCAGTATGCTTGATTACTATAATACAAACCGAGTGGCAGGGTTTCCTTGAAAAATATCATAAAGTATGTTTTTGACGGTGTTTGCCCGAGAAGTGCTTGTTCTAAGTTTACACACTTTGCCAAAATTGGAAGCTGTGAGACGTGATTTTCTATACTTTTGCCATTCATTATTATTTTGCTGTCCTACAGTTCTTCTTTCCACTTCTTCTATTTCTTTTATAGTTAGCTTCAGATTATTTAAAAATATTTTTTCCTCTTTTAAATATTTGTCATGTGGCATATCAGTTATTGTACACTCTAATTCATTTACAGCTCCATAATTCTCATCTGGTCCGTCAATAATTTTTGTTCTCTTTGGAAAGGTTCTTATAATTTATAATTAAAAAAAAAAAAAAAAAATCAGTTGAATATAATATAATGAATAGAATTATTTTTAAAAAATACTATTATATTATATTATTAGGTATATAATAATAATATAACAATTTAAAAATCTAAGAGTACCTATATATTATAAGCTATATAAGAACTAGTTATATATAGATTTAGCCCCCCCCCATCTGTTTAATATAATCAAATTTAAAATTTAAATTGTTATATTATAATACCTTTCGAAATTTAAACGTCTACATTTTAATTTTAATTTTGATCTTTCTACTCTTTTTATGTATTGTTTTGTAAATAATCCAGGGCTAGTATTCGTAATTTGTTTATGTAAATTACTAATATATTTTGGTCCACAATTATAAGATGTTACCGCTGTATTACACCGTGCACTATATGAACCTATAAAATATCAGTTATACATAATATGTCAAACATATAAGACGAAAATATAATTTTTAGTTTTATAAGTATTTGTTATTACTTACCTCTAGAAGAAAAATTGACTCTTTTTCACCTATTTACGTGGATCATTGTTTTAAATTTTTAATCCTTAACTATGAAAGTTGAACATTTTATAAATTTTTAATTACAAAATATTTATTATATTTTAAATTTGATAAATTTTGTCAAAATTCGAACTTTAAATGATTATAAGAAAAAATTGTGCCTAGGTATGTATTTTTAATATTTTTCAACTAATATTTTTACAATACATCAGGAGCCTTGCGTTAAATTTTCACGCTTTTTACCCAACAAAAAATTTTTTATTGATATTTATAGAAAAAAAACTAAGAAAAATGAAAACTGTCAATGTCCGTAAATAGCTCAAAAAGAGGCAAAATATTTTCAAAGTTTTTTGGTGTATAAAAAATGAAAACATTCAGCAAAATTTTAAGTTTTGTGATCTTTCAGTATTTTGTCAAGATTCGAACTTTAAATGCTTATAAAAAAACTATGACTAAGGATTTTTAATATTTTTCAACTGCTATTGTAACAATATAGCAAGAGCCTTGTATTAAATGTTCAAGCTTTTTTACCCAACAAATAAAGTTTTATTGACATTCATATTTTTTGGATTTTCTTGAAATTCCAGGGGGGCTGCAGCCCACCCAGCCGCCCCCATAAATACGCCCCTGTTATATTATTATGTAAGAAACAAATTGTTATCTTCGGTATAAAGATTATTTACTTACTGTACTTGTTTATTTTCGTTTGTATTTGTCACAAGCAATTTATACTTCGACTGAAGTATATTGTGATTAATATTTGATGTCGACGGAGATAAAATATTAAAACCCATTTCTACATCATCGGTATTTATTCTAAATAACGAAAAAAAATTCTATCAGTAGCCCAAAACGTGTAAATGTACAAAAAAAATAAAATTTATTACGAACAATTCAATACTACTTTGTTCTACATACTCGTTATTTTGACCTTCAATTGGAATAGTCAAACTATCGGTGTTATCCTACGAAATAATTTAAACAAAAATAAAAAATGAAATTTATAAGTAAACAAACATTTAAGTAAGTATATTCAGTATTCACTTACTGTTTTATGTATGCGATGAGTTTGCCAATTTAAAAGTGATGAAACATTACCTCTATTTTTTTTCACTTTGGATAGTTTTTGTTTTTTATTTCCCATTTTACCAAATTATTATAAAGAAAACAAATCACGTTTTATAAAAACAAAATCTAAGTTTAAGTGCGTAAAAATCTTGCTATTTTACACTAGCGAAAAAAATACATAATATACCAAGTCCAAGTGTAGTAATGACGTGAGGCGAAGCTCAAATGAACAATATTTCATATTTTCATGTTATATTATTAAATTATATTTCATTCATACCAAATTATCAATATACGCAAGATATTAAATATCTTATTATAAATTTTATAATTGTACCGTGGTAATACCTAGAATAGTATAATTACGATTTGTAATCTATCTATAGCAGACCGTGGCATGCATAGACATAATATATATATATGTCTATGGTGGCATGCGATATGGGTGAAGGAACGGTAGTGGCGGAGGAACTCTTCCGCACGCGGCACGCGCGGTACAAGTCACTGTCGCATTGTCGCGCGCATGAACGATCCAGAACGTGTGTTTTTTTTTACTAAAACTATGTATTTTTATTCCATCATACTGATCGCTGTAGTTATGCGATAATACTTTTAAAAACTGATTTGAATTCGTTATAATGTCTACTTAAGATCGGTCAGTTCACATTTTAAGATTTCTGATTTATATTCCGAATAATCAACGTTTGAAAATGCCGAAATTTCAAAATATTCAAACTAAATTTTTGGTTGTTAGGGGGGTGAAATTGGGAAAAATAGACTGACCGATCTCAAGTAGACTTAATAACAAATTCAAATCAGTTTTAAAAAGTATTATCGCATTACTACATCGATCAGTATGATGGAATAAAAATTGGATGTTTTGGCTAAAATAACTGTCCGCCACCGATCCCCTTAATGTACACTCGTCAAAAATATTTGTATATAATTTGATTTGTATCTATCAGGCACCAGGGATAATTTAAACTTTGGATGGCTTATAGCTGTTAAAATAAATGATTTGCTTTTAACATTCTTTAAATCTAGTATATAATCAAATCTTTTTTCTAAACTGCTTATAATATTGAAACATAAAGGTCTACAGTAGTACAGTGAATCAAGTTATTCATCTCTATTAACAAAAGTCTTAATGCCAGTATAGTGTGGGCCAACTGGGCCAAGGGCGCCCATATTAAAATACTCAAGGGGGGGACAACATTTTAATTTATCAATCTATTTATAAATAGGAATGACCACGAGGTATCAAGGGGTTTACAATTTTACACTATACTATTACATTATATACATCAAACTGGATGATTATAAAACAATAATTATTTAACCAATTAACCATAAAATTAATTTATTGAAATTTTTATTTAATTAATAATAAATATATTATTAAATTAATATTAAATATATTCCCGGGCGACCCTGGCCGACGTTTAAAGCGTAGCTGGTGCCGTGACCAACTGGTCGACTAGTTGACTAGTCCACTAACCAGTGACTAACCACTACTATCCCGCCATGAAGCGCTATTATTGAATAGCTTCTTCAAACCGGTGGAGTACGATTGCGCGCGTTTTACCTTTTTAGGCATACGATTGCGCGCGGTGCCGGAATAACCAATAATCATGCTTTTGACTATTCAAAAGCGTACGATTGCTCGTGAAATTGGATGTGACGTTGCCAAATTATTATTTAAATATAAAATATTTATTATTATAAAAAAATATCGTTTTTGATAATAACGCAGAAAAAACCGCAGACAAACAAATTTTCGACTAGCCCAGTGATATCTTCTAAATTCAATTTTTTAGGTCAAAAAATTCAAAAAAAAAAAAAAACAATAATAATTGGTACACGATTGAAAATCATCAATTTCGATACAAGATCACATTATATACAAATAATGAAAAATAGTTATAATAAAATAATATTAAATATTCGAAAAGGTATCAAAAAAAAAATCGAAAAAATATTCATTGAAAAAAATCGTTATAATAAAATAATATAAATAAAATAATTTAAATTTTAAATCCCTGATACCTATTTCCAATTATGGCTAAATACTTAAACAAATTTTCTGGCGTTTTATTTTTCAGATACTCTTCGTATTGCTTACTCATTTGGCAACGTTGCTTAGAAGTAAAAATAATTTAGCACGCGCAATCGTACGCCTAAAAAGGTACCGCTGACAAGGACCGCGCGCAATCGTATTGCAGCCCTTCAAACAAGCCAACCATAACCTATTATGTATCCCTCCATTGTGCTTATTGTAAATATATTTTTTACAGATTGTACAAATTAAATAAAAGACAAAAAAAATAAAAAAAATAAAAAATAACAATTCGACACTTAAAACATTAATTATATTTATTAAAATATTAATTTACAAATAAAAATTGTAAATTTCTGTTTTTAACACCAAATATATTTATTACTTGTTCTATATATTCATCCTTTTTATCATACATTTTTTCCCTATGTACGTTTATCATACATAAGCCATCAAGTCTATCTTCACTCATTGTAGATCTCGTCCATGTCTTTACTCTCCTTAGTGTACTGAATGATCGTTCTACAGTGCATGTCGTAGGTGGCAATGTAATATATATCATTATACCTTTCTTGACAGCAGGAAATAATTCACACTCATTTAACAATTTTTTATAATCTACCATTTTATCATTTATAAATGATTGTGATTTTAATTGCCAATAATCATACCAAATTAAACCATTAACTTTTATATTAGGTATTTTAAAATGATTTTCAATATTTTGAAGTATGTTAATATATTCATTTTTTTGTAGTTTAACCATTTCATTTGGAAGCAACCAACATAACTTAAATTGAGTCTCGCTGTTTTCATTAAATCGATTATTTAACGAGCTAATAATAGAGTCTAAATATGGTATATACATGGTCACATGGATACTCTGTAATAATCTTCAATAGAATCATTTGATGAACAGTTATGATTTGATCGTTGACTCTGATGATTTGTTCTTCAAGGTATTTTAAGTACAAAATCTAAGCTATTCGCTGCTTTAGTGATTTCCTAAAAATGTATTAAAATATTCTATGCTGTTTTCTTTATGTTTATTTAGTATGCCAACAAGTTCAGTTTTAACAAATTTATGAACAGAATGGAGATTAACACTTCTGCCTTGTAATTTGGTCACAACTGGTTCTAGAACAGAATAATAATAAGCAATTACTTTTAAACTAATCAAAAAAGTACAGTTTGATGTTTCTGATGAAAGTTGGAATGCACGATTTATTGTAACAGCATTTGCTTCTGAACTAATAGATAATTTTTCAAGAATAGTTTTAATTTCAATGAAATTTTTATCAAATAGCCGTATACATTTGTATTTTTCCGACCAACGTGTCTCACAAAATAATGGAATATTTGGAATAAGTTTTCTTCTCAAGATACTTTCTCTAAAAAACTTGATTATTTCCTTTACAGTACCAATAGTATTTCTGATTTCAGGAATTGAATTTTGATCGTTAACTATTAAATTTAGCTTATGTGAAGCACAATGAAAATAACAATATAGGATACTTTTTTTCGTATAATTGCCTGTACACCATTTTCTTTACCACTCATGGTTGAACAACCATCAAAATTTAGGCCAACAAGTTTCAAAATATTTAAACCATATTTTTCTGTTGATTCTAATATACTTTTTGATACACCTTCTGCATTTAAAACATGTACTTCTTTATTATATATAAATCTGTGATTATAAATAAAATATTATGCTGGTGTACACGCACACACAGACAAACATATTATACATATCGTATTGTGGCAATACACAATATTTAAAGAATTGATAACTATTCATAGATTAGAAACGAAACAGTGTGTTGTTATTTATAGCTGATAACCCGATTTGCCAAACTGAATAAACCGACTTTTAATAAACAAATTATAGATTTTCATAATATATTAAAATACATTTTTAAATTCTGTTTAAATAAATAAGTAGATTCTGATCACAGTAAACAATTTTTCAAGATTTTCGACATTTTCCAGGGGGGAGACATGTCCCTCCCTTGCCCCCCACATGAGCGCCCTTGGTGTGGGCCACATGATTAGGTTCATAGGAGTAGCCAGGGGAGCTGTATGTTGTGCCACTATATACCTACTCTAAACGTAGAAGTGCTATTTATGGAGATAAGACGAAATTTTAGGAACTTCTGTTATTTTTGTCTAATAACTGCTTTAAATTTTCCCAACGAATATACCAATGACTCAAAGTTAGATGTTAGATACATAATATGTAGTATATTAATATTAATATTCCCTATATAAACTATTTGTTTCGATCCTCATTGGTAATGTCTGTACCTATGCTAATTTATAATAGAATAGCTATATATACCCACTAGGGTGGTCCTTATTTTTCATTTTTCATTTTTTTGAGATTACCCCCCCTAAAAAGGTTAAGTTACCTGAAAAAACCATACTAATAAAGTTTCATGCAGATTCTTTAATTTTAACCCGTGCCGCAAAAGCTCCAAAGTTACAAAAATAGAACATTTTCAATATTTTAATTTTTTTTGATATTCTTAAAAATAACTCTGGAAATAAAAATGTTACAAAAAATTTGTTGAGATACAATGATAGAAAACTAAATTTACTAAAATTTGTTTCATATAGATTAGTTTCCAAATATTTTATTTTTTCAAATATTTTAATCAAAAAATTAAAAAAAAAAAATCTTGAAAATTATGTATATATATGGATATTTCCATCAGCATAACATACAAATAATAGTGAAAACAATTTACAATAAATAATAACACTTATATTTTTAACATATTTTAAATATAAATGATATAACTAAATTTATGACTGTGTAACTTGGGTAAGTGTTTCTTTTCTATGGTCAGGATATTTTTTGTTATAATCTCTAACAACTTGTAGTAGATATTGTTTTTGAGATTCATCTTTGGTTATTTTGTTGTTATAATCTTCTATAATTTTTACTCCTCTTTCTGCAACATCATTTATAACTGCAATATTTTTTAAAATTGACAGAGCTGTATTATAATCTGCATTATTTGCCCACATTAAAGGGTTTTCATTCAAAAAAGTGGTATTGATAGCAAATCGTTTAAAAAGATTTTTAGTGTTGACACATATAAAATCATCAATTTCCTTTTCTAATAACTCGTTTGCATTTTTTGCAAATATAATTAAACGTTGTGCATTTGAATTTAACTCTGATAAACATTCGTCGTTGTTTAGAGCATGAATCATTTTTCTTTTAGTCTCCAGTGGCACAGCCTCATCGAAAAAATCAAATGCGCATAATTCCGCCGATAAATACCATAAGTGACCACAAAACTTTTTAACTGCTATCTGAGATAGATCTTTATCTATAGAGGCATATTGTAAAAGATTTTTCATAAAAGTCAAGTCTTGTAAAGGAGCTTTGATTGAAGATGGTGAATTAAACCATACTTTTATATATAACCGTACAATAAAAATGCAAATACTTCTTAAGGCACTTTCTTCTTTGGGTGTTAATCGAAACTGTTCACGAAATAAATATATTTTCAAGCTATAAATAGCTTTTGCCATCCACCGAGCATGATGGATGGCACCTGGTATTTAAAAGCTAATATCATTTGAAAGTTTCCCACCCAAAAAATTACTGTTAATTCTAGTAACTCTCGATAATCATCTCTTGGCTGCTTTTCTAATAGTCGATCTTTAGAAACCGATGTTGCACCAAATTTCAAATCGAACACACTTTTCAATATAATTTCATATATATGATGGCTGCATGGTAAATATACTATTTCGCGTTCTAATAGTTGCTCAAGCAAAACACAAGCTCCATTTAAGCGACCTGTATTTGATGCTGTAGTATCGGAACAAAGTGCTTGTACATTTTCATCTAAACACCAATCTACAAGCGTTTGGTATATTGCATTGACTTGTTCAAGTCCAGTTCCACTATTTAACGCCGGGACCCCTAGCAGTTGTTCACGACCATATACAGACGCGATTATAGGCAGCCTATCGACTAAGCCTTTCCCGGTTAAATTTGGAAGAAGTTTTTCGTCCCAGTGTATAACAACTGCGTCTTCCTTACCTAAGTTATAGTTATGACGTATTTGTTCAGCACGTTGCTTGGTATTTTATGCGAGAGCGTCGTATCAATGATCGGTTTACAATAAGTTCATTAACATTATTACCTAAATATTACCATGGAAATAATCGCAAAATACGTGTATAGGTTTAAGTACACTACCCACCTAACGATTCTATAATTATCTCTTGTATCATAGATTAAAACTTGTAGGATCACATGCAAACCATATTATACAATATATATTAATTTTAAGTTAATTTAAATCGCATTATACGATATAAAAAACATTTTATTTATTGCCACGCAAAAAATAGTTAAACATTTTTATTTTTAAAATTTAAACTCAAATATCTTTGAAAATAATATATTAAAAAAAAATGTATAAGTATAAAACTGTTGTAACAATAATAACGTACAATTAATGTCTTTAAAATAATTTTTGTAAAATCATTCTTTTAAGAGTTATGATTAATTATATTCAAAAACTAATGATTTCTAACATTTTTTCGTTATTAAAACTTCAGAGCTTTTGCGGCACGGGTTAAAGTTAACCATTTCGTCTAAAAAATTTTTCTCATGCTTTTTTTAAGTAACTGAACCTATTTGAGGGTGGTAACTTGAACATTTTGCAATTTTTTTTTACTTCATCTATAACGGAGGACCACCCTAATACCCACTGTGCATAAGCGTGCGCAGACCTTATTTGCAGGGGGGGGGGGGCAAATTTTTTTTACCGTCATGTCGAAATATTTTTTAGGAGAAGATATAAATAGGTTACTTCATTAATATAACATATATTCATCAATGTCATCTGTATTACGTAATGTATTATTTATTACATGTTTATGTGCAAATATATGTTAATATTATAAAAAAAGTTCTAATAACTATAAAATACATTTGTTGAGTTGTATGATTATTTAGAATTTAAATTGTATAGCACAATTCTTCTGTCGGAGGGAGTTAATATTTTAAATTGTTGAATCACATCATCAACATTTATATTATATGCCAATTTTTTTTCAATGAACATTGTTAGTAGTCCATCTAGTCATTGTACTACGTATCTTTGTTTTGGCTAAAATTAATTTTGAGAATGTTCGTTCACATGAACAACTAGTAACTAGAATAGTAACAAAAGTTTTTAAAGTTTTGAATATATTAAAAATAGTTTCTCTTCCACTTCCAATTTCTGTTAACCTGCTTATCCATGTGTCACATTTTTTTTATCACTTTTAGGTAGATTGTTTGTGTGTTTAAGTAGATTCACTTCACTTTTTAACACTTCAGCTTCCATGTTAAAAGTTTTTGTTAATATGGTGATATCATTATCATCAACATTCAATTCTAATAAACTGCCAACGCTTTTTATCATATCCAAAGTTTCTTGGCTAAACTTAATATTTATACCATTAATCATTTCATCTACCTAATGTTACATTATAAACTGTAATCCTCATTTCTTCTGCCTTAGTATCAATGAAATGTTGTGTATTAGAATAAATATCAACTTAATTTGAAACTTTCCTTTTCTTTACCAATGGAATCACAATTTCAGTGACTTCACATACTTTTTCAATTTTTTTATAAATATTAACAAAAACAGATTCAGAATTTCTCACCGTTTCAAGTGACTGCTTTAATGACTCAACTACTTCTATTGCAGTTCGTAAATTAATATTTGATGTTTGTAAAAATGCACTAACTTTTAATATAGAACATAGTATAGGGTCTAGCATTTCTAATGCAAATACTAATTCAAAAGTTTGCATTTGGTGAATTATACCTAAGCCTTTAGCACGAACATCTGCTTGTCTAGTAGATTCAGAAATGTCTTTAATGGCGATAATTAAAGTTGTGTAATTTTCTTTCACTGCACTAACGGCTTCGTAACGGCAAGCCCATCGGGTAGTAGAAACAGATTTCAACGTTTTTAATATTAAGTTGATTGAATTAGCAATTTTCTCTAAGACTGCATGTCTAACGCAGCTGCCTTCAATAAAATTATGAATAAGCTGGATATTTCCAAAAAAATTAAATGTTATTCGATTTTGTCTCCCTACAGAATCAACAAGAACAAGATTCAAACAATGTCCATAACAATGAACAAAAAATGTATTTATGATTTTTTCTTTGAATTTTGCTTGAACTTCTGTAGTACACCCGGCCATTATATGCCATATATTTTCCCATTTGATATTTTATTCATGAATAATATCACTTAATGAGCTAAAAATAGTCTGAGCATCTACTGCTTTTATTCGCTTCATACAAACAAATTGTTCTACTGGACATTTTGTTTGTTTATTGAAGTAACGCAATACAATCGATAACTGTTCATGATGACCAATATCACTGGTCTCGTTTGCTATCAACAAAACTTTTTCATTCAGCATCATATCGTTTAACTGTCTTTTAATAACCAGGCTAATGGATGAAATTAGGTCGTTTTGAGTATGATTACTCGTATTCATAGCGTTTTTTGGTTCTGATATAAAATGTTCATATAGGATCATACTTACGTAGAAGACCTACTATGTCTAAAAACAAACCTCTATGGATATCATTTTTATTTTCTGTATGTCCACTGAATGGTTTACCACCAATACCTAGACATAGAGTAATATCGATCAATCATTTCATAATCTCTGTATTTTTTTGTCGTGTAACTCCTTCTGGCTGTGAATATTTTTTATTTGGTCATCTAAACTAACATCAATAAGTTTGGAATTTAAAAAATTCATCAACGATGTGGAACTATTTAAATGATTTTTGGTTTTTTCATGTAAACTGAATTTTGAGGTAGCGGCTTTCCAATTCTTACATCCAAGTTTTAAGTATACTAATTCAGATTGGCCAACATTAAGTCCTGTGAATCCAATAAACAAGGGAAACAAAATGGCAAATCTTCTTCTGGACTATACTCTAACCAAGTAAATTGCTGATACCATGACTTTTGGAAACTACGTAGTGTTAAACTAAACAAGGTTCATGGGTAAATGTCCAGTATAGGTTAAAATGGGCCTTTCAAAATTCTTTGTTTGAATTCTATCTGATTTCTAGGAACTCCAACTTTAGGATCTAAGGGATGAATGTCAGAAGAAACACTTTTATTTTCATCTATTGAAATAGATCAAGTTTATATTTAAGAATATATTATTTTAAGTTATAACTAAAAACTAACAAAAAAAATGTAAATTAATTAAGTTAATTAATTAATTTTCGATATCAATTAGTAGTATTTAAAAAGCTCGGTAAAAATAATCAGTGTCTCATATCGGTTTAATACATTTATCGCTAGATGGCGCCAGTCAGTAGTTCCAGAGCTAATATAGGGATTCAGTTAGACGGTCTACTTATAACAATTCGATGTGTAACCAGTATATCTTAAATCGTGTTGGTAACTATAATTCTGGATTAATAATTTTTCCCGTATCACAGATTCGTGGTAAATTGTTATCGTATTTATAATTTATATCAGTCACAAACTCTCGAACACGATTACCCAAGCGGTAAGTAATATTTATTTGCAAAAAAGTTCGGCCCGCAGGGTGGGTAACCCCCCCCCCCCCCCCCCCCCGTGCGCAACCACTGTGCAAAAAGTTGTAATATTTACGATTTATAAACGTTTGAAGTTTACTTAAAACGTTAAAAATTATTGTATAAATTAACAACAAATTAGCACTTATAATGCAGACTAGTTGTTTGGGCATTTTTCATATACGATACAGTCCACTACTCTATTATCATTTATATTATCAATTATTATGTTACCACATTATACCTTAACATTATAATACTATCAGTCGATATATTCAATAAAATATTACTTTGGCTGTAGTTCAGTCAGTTAACGAAAAACCATGTGTACGTCAATTTGAAACTCATAAACACCCAACAGGTATCCCAAAAACATTTTGGTCCTACGAGCTGGATTTTCATCCGTTTTTATGTATACCTGTTACGCGAAGTTACATTTACAGTTCGATTTACAGTCATGTCAGCCAAAACCTTAAGCAACAAATTCAAACTCATCCTCAAGAAGAGGGATCGTTTTTCCGGGGAGAATGTGTCTCACTTAAACTCAGAGCAAACAAATATTCAATTAGAATTGCTAGAACAAGCGTTCGACATCTATAATAAAGACTTTGAGCAATTTACATTGACTGTTGGAGATGATAAGATTGATACTTACATAGAAGTATTGGAAGAAGTAAGTGACATTTATGCACATACTAAAGCAATTTTATTAACACGTATACACAAATCAGAAGAAGACATTAAACCAAAAACATTATAACATGACAGCAATGTACATCAATTGATAAAACTTCCACCCATTAATATACCTACATTTGATGGCAAGTTTGAAGAATGGTACTCCTACCGTGATCAATTTATGTCTATTGTTCATAATAATAAAACTATTGATGATGTGCATAGAATGTATTATTTGAAGACCAGGCTACAAGGTCAAGCAGCGGAAGTCATTTCAACCTTATCGTTAACTGCTCTAAACTATAAGGAAGCATGGTCGCTACTCGTTAATCGATATGATAATAAGCGTCTCATAGTACAAAAACATTTGCACCACTTATTATCACAACCTGTCATAAATGGCAAATCAGTAAACGCTTTAAGAAGCCTATTAGACATTACCAGTAAACATTTATCAGCTCTTAAGGTACTAGAACTTCCAGTGAAACATTGGGATGCAATATTAGTGTATATTGTATCTAACAGATTACCAAGTAACATAATGCAAACCTGGGAAATAGACAGTTGTAGGTCAACTGATTTGCCATCATGACAGAATTTGTACATGTTCATTGAAAATCGCATACATGCACTTGATGTTGTGCAGATAAAAGTTAATAGTACCTTTAAAGGCAAACAAATTACTCGGACGACTACACATGCTGCACTAACAAATGAGTCATCAAATAACCAGGGAAAGAAACTATGTCCTGTATGTGCTCAAGGCTACCATTCGATATATCAGTGTCCAACATTCATGCAAGCTACACCTAAGGACCGTAAAACACTAATCATTAAAGCAAAACTGTGTTTAAATTGTCTATGGTATTCTCATCATACAAATCAATGTTCATGTAGCAAGGTATGTAAGATATGTACATTAAAACATCATACTCTTCTTCATATAACATCAGACCATACATCACATCTCACTAGTGACAAAACAATGGTTACAAACAAGACATCTGGCGAGCAAGAGGTTCAAGCTGCCTCGACAGAGGTGGCTAACAACGTTGTGGTTCATCACGGCACTACTCAATCAACAATTACATCTACAACTTTATTAGCCACAGCCTTAATACACATACATGGTACTAATGGTCAGACAGAAATGTGTCGTGTGCTATTAGATTCTGGTTCCCAGTCTCACTTCATATTATCAGAATTGGCTAAACGTCTACATTTGAAACGCGAGAAGCATAATGTAACCATAGATGGTATCTCTATCACTACAACAAGTGTGCGGGAGATAACAACATTTGACATCTCATCTTGTACTACATCAAAACAATACAAATTAAATGCTCTAAATTACAATAAATCTGCCTACAAATAAAATAGACATCTCTGAATTTAAACATATAAATAATCTACCCTTAGCTGACCCAACATTCTATAAACCAGGTAAAGTTGATTTGTTAATTGGTGCTGAGTTGTACTTTAGGCTGCTAAAGACGGGTTAGTCATGCGAAAACAAAGGATGGCCTACACTCCAGAACACTGAACTGGGATGGATTATTGCTGGCGGTTATGAACTACCGCTTAAGGGAAACACAAGTGAAAACGTCACCTGTCTCAGTACCGCAGTTCTATCTACTTTAGATGCAGCCGTTCAAAACTTCTGGAACATTGAAGAGATACCTAAAGCTACTCATATGACTAAAGAAGATTTGGTTTGTGAAGAGCATTTTATAAAAACACATTATAGAGAAAAAAAAGTGGACGTTATGTGGTACGTCTACCGTTCAAAGAGCCACCACCTGCTGTGAACGACTCATATCAAGTAGCCATAAGCAGATTTAAAAGGGTTGAACGAGCTCTCAAAGGGCAACCAACTTTGTGGACAATGTATAAAGACTTTATGTATGAGTATGAACATTCCAACCTCATGAAATTAGTTCAACCAGGTGAGCAACAACCTTTGATTTATTTGCCACATCATCATGTGTGTCGGTTGGATAGTTCTTCTACAAAACTAAGAGTTGTCTTCGACGGATCAAGTAAGATGAATGATGGGGTTGTTTATATTATGTTGTCTCTGCTTAAGACACTTTTTGTAGTTTTGTTGAAGCCCCTCGGTCCTCAACGGAGGGAGTATGTTTGGGCATTTTTCATATACCATACAGTCCACTACCCTATTATCATTTATATTATCAATTATTATGTTACCAAATTATACCTTAACATTATAATACTATCAGTCGATATATTCAATAAAATATTGCTTTGGCTGTAGTTCAGTCAGTTAGCGAAAAACCATGTGTACGTCAATTTGAAACTCATAAACACCCTACAGGTATCCCAAAAACACTAGTTGTAAATACCAATAACAAAAAAATGTTTGTTAAGTTCAGGATTTAATTTGCCTTTAAAATAATTGCTCCTGAATATAAAACAAAACTACGTATTCAGTAGCCATCAAGGACACTGTATCATCTATTGGCTGTGGTAATCGACAAACCTCTGATGGCACTTAACATTTTTAAATCATTATTTATTCCTTCTCTACTTTCATCTGTCAATCTTATGTCCCTTTTCTCTTTAATCCAAAATTCTATTAAATGCTTATTGACCCCAAGACACACACAATGCATGTAGCCTAAGCAAACGAAATTAGTTATATTAATATATAATTTGAGTAAGGGGAAATCACCTTTATGATATTCTTCATTCAATTGATTTCTAAAAGTTTCATTTGTTCTTATTGGAGCATTTATTCCAATTAAAGCAACTCGGGGTTCTATAAAATCTCCTTCTTCATTGCAAGAAGTACACCCAAAACAGGCATTAATTATCGCTCACTTCTTTGACGGCAACAGATTCAGAAGTCTCAAGTTTTTTTGATACTCAACAGTCTTATTCATCTGATGATATTCAAAATTCTCAAGGATCTAGTCAGTCTGATATTACGGAATCAATTAATTTATCGAAAGGGTATTTTTTTTTTTTAAACATTTCAAGCCTAATTTCCATTATTAATTAATTTTATTATTAATATAATTGTTTTTTATTAATTGGTATAAATATTATGTTATGATTAAATATTGTTTTTTAAAAATATATATTTGCAATTAAATATTTTTAATATGTGTTACCTATATTTTTTTATAGTAAATTAGACATTTTAATGCAGTTTATTATATTATGGGTTACTCATAATTTTTTATTATAGGTATTGTATGTGGTTATTTTTTCAATGGTTGTTTTTCGGGGTTTATATGTCTGGTGTTTTTTGCCGGGGGTTACTTATAAGAGGAATTTTTGTTTTTGTTTTTTAGGATTGTGATTTGTTAAATTACTTGAAAAGCACCACTGAAGGAAAGGCTTTATTAGCAACTTATAATGCTGATGGTTTATTAGACAATAGTGGTCGAAGAAAAATTTGTAATTTAATTGTCAGAAGAAAGTTTCAAGAAGATCCTGAAAAATCCGTCAAAACTCAAAGATTACTTTTTTTAGCTCAAGAGATAACAAAAGTTTTCCCTAAAGAACATTTGAGTACATATTTCATACCCTATATGAACTATAGTAAATACTAATTTCATATTAACATGTAAATTAAAACATTAAAGTAAATCATTAAATATTGTTATACATTAAAGTATAATCTATCATTATATTTCTTTTACTACAGGTCCGTCAATAAAAAAAAGCAGCAAAAGGGATACTCCTTGATTGCTTCAACAACAAAATGAGGGAATACAAAAGGCTGGGCTCATTTCATCGACCAGTCGTTCCCCTTCTTTTGAAAATTCTTCAGCCTCACTTTTATTGAATCAGACTACATCAGGAACTGGTAAGTTTATAGCTATAATGCGTGTCTAATGATTACTTAAGATTTCTTTGAAATTGAATTTGAAATACTATTTTCAGGACATTTACCTATTATGTTTGTATTTATTTATTTATTTATTTATTTATTTATTTATTAGGTAGTTAATAACAATAAACAATTACAGCCAAATTGGTTCAGTAGTTTTCTCGGTTAGTGCAGTCGTAGAAACCCCCTTACAATTTTATATAGTAGTATAGATAACCTATACTTAAATAAAAATATTGCTAATTAACAAAATCTTTAAATTTTACTCTATAAATGTAAGGTTTAAAACTTTTAAAATAGTAACTACCATAAATAGATAAACTAATTTTAAACCATATCTAGTGTGGTTCTATCTCTGTGTACAAAGGCAAGATTCTTCAATTAGGACAAAAAATATCTAATACACTCAAGGATCCTAGTTTAAAGTGTATTATAAAAGACTATCTAGATCTGGCAGCTTTAGGAAGTTTTTCTTTTTAAACTTAAACATATTTTGGTTAACTTTTCTTTTTAAAATCATTATCATTTAATTTGTTTTTAGAACGTGGAGAAACTTCATCTCTAGCAGCGTTTATCATACTTCCATTCCTCTTCTTTCCTGTTACAACTAAGAGGAAAAAAGGAATACCTGCTTGGAGACCTTCAAAAATTGAATCCAGAGACGGCTTCATTACACATATAAAATCAAATTCAGAACTTATTGAAACAATTACAAGACGGAAACAAAAGTATAGTCAATTGGGTATAACTTTACAGCCTCTTATTATAATAGTAGGACCTAGTATTAACTATTAATGAAATTTCTAAATATTTTGTACTTGTTAACGATACATATTATGTTTAAATTCAATTGTAACTGCAGTAGATACTTGTTTCAAAATTTTGCATGCCTTAAATTTACTTTATCCGATAGAAAGTTTGCTCGTGTGGAGTTTTATCTAAAAAGGTTTTTATAAAATAAAAACAGCTTATGATTCAGAATACGTTTCTGTTAATTCTCTGCTCAGTGATCTTGACATTAATGTTATTTGATAACTTAAATTATTAACTTTTGAAACAATTGCCTACTTAATACATATTTACCTACTTAGCAGGAAGCAAATTTTTTTTTTTGTTATTTCATAATTTATCAATACTTCAAACTATAAAATTTAAATATAGATAAATATAAATAAGTGTTCATACGTCAGGTTTATTGTTTATTCTATTGAAACATGCCTTTTTGTTTTTTATGCATGGTGAATTTGCCAAATATCTCATTGTTATGTAAACATTTTCATATCAAGCATACCACTCATGATTTTTCATCGTATAATTTTGCAGAAGTAGGCTGCAGTAGATCTTTTCATTTAGTAAATTCATTAAAAAATACATCTAGCAACATATACATTAAATGAATGCACATTAACTAAGAAAACTGTTTCAACTCGAAATGTAACGGTTAAAAATGTATCAACAGAGAATATTAACGATAACACAATTTCTATAGATAAGTTATATACAATTCTATGTATACCAGAATCGAGCCCTAATAATAATAATTGTTCAACTAAAAACAGTATAAGAAAAGTAATAAGTTCCTTATATGCTAATCCCCAAATTCCTCGTAATGTAGTTCAAACAGTAGTTGAAGATATGACAGATATATTTAACAGTTTACATCAAACTATAAAGGAAAAAACCAACCAATTACTTTTAAATGATACTATATCTAATGAATCTTTTTATCATTT